CAAGGAACCAAAAAAGTCAATAGCACCATCGTTACCCTGTACGGTGAGTTCCCTCCCCACAGATAAGCTGTACGTTAAACCTAGTATGATATTTATTTCTAAGTACCTAGTATTATACTACCTGAAAAAATTAATCGTCTTCCATCAATCTGTTTTCTGAAAAGGAGAATAGAGCTCGACTGCAAGTAGTTTTAGTAAATTCTGATTTGCAAAACATGTGCATGGATATTTCAGTTACACCACACACGGATATCAATTCGAAAGGATGCATACAAGAACCAGAGAGCCCGGCTGCCCTGGGCGGCGGTGGTGGATCTAGCGGCGGTGGCAGGGTGTCGTTGTTTGCTGGGACTGGCGGTACACCACAGAAGACGCCGAGCTGGTAGGGGCAGACGCCGAGCCGGTATGAGAAAACGTTGAGCGCCTACTGCACCAGCCACCAGGCGTGGGGGTCACTCAGATGCGCTCGGCGCCTTCGTGCTGCGTTCCAGGAGCATGGTGGCCAGCCCGAGTCCAACCCCTTCGCCGCCCACGCGCGCGGTCTGCCTCTACCTTAGCGAGGTCCGCGAGCAACTGGCTCACGGTCGTGGCGTCAGCTACGGGAAGAAGCCGCACAAGAAGCCGACGCCTGGTGATACCAGCAGCAGCTGCAGCAGGGGCAGACGGAAGCCACTAGCCACAAGGCTCATTTGGTGTGACCGAGTGACGAGGGAAATACACCTTGGTTCCTGGTTGTAGATACATCCTATATAGAGATTTTTTTTAATAATTAACAAAAAGTCAAAATAGTTTACATGTGTTTTAAAAATAAACTTTACTTATTTTCGCAGTTAGTATAAATTTTCAGGAACAAAAAATCAATGTCGACTTCAGAGCAAAGAAGACAAATTTATTTGCTATGATAGATCACTATTCACATCATTTTGGTCAAAAAAATTGTCTTTCTTGAAAAGAAGTCAAAGGGGGATTTTCTTTATGTACGAGAACTATGATGGTGTCATTCCAACCCTCCGAAACTATGTTATTATAGATTGCTTCCAAAACCTCATGAGTAAGTTTATCTGCCAAAATATGCCAGCACTTCTTAAAGAATATTGCATTAGGACCATTTGGGCCCGCGGCCTTCAAATCCCCGCAGAGGAAAGCGCACGTTCACCTCTTCAGTCAAGCAATCTTGTAAAAGTGCATTGTAATTTCATCATCTTTCAGACCCTCAACATGACCTCATTGGAAAGGTTTGTATTCAGGCCGTTAACTTCGGTTGTGAACAAACCTATAAAGTAGTCTGAGATGAAAGGATTAAGGGCCGATAGATCATCATGCCAAACACCTGGGTCATCTTTGATACTTTCGATTTCACTCCACTCCCGAAGTAGCTTGTATTATCAATACGACTCCTTTGTCCCCAATACATCTAATCCTGCTCAAGAACTTTCCCTATACCACACCCCTCCCCCTACTTATGAGGTGAGTGGCGTTGGTCGAGATGCGGTCTTGAAGACCATTTTAGTTCAGGCGCTTTTGTATTGTGTTTTTTAGGGTGCTTTTGTATTGTGGTTGTTTGAGTTGGAGTTGGTGTTAATTAGCTACCCACCGGGTTATGGTGGGAGATGTCCTTCGTCTTGTATTTAAACTTAAGATCTCTCTCTTTCTCGCAGACATAGCTGCGGATGGCCTTAAGTTATTAGGCTTTTTTTATTCTTTGGCTACGCATGTTGACACACACACTAAAAAGTGACTGAGCGAAATACAATTTTTGATTGACACCTAGCCGGCCGGTCCTTCTTTTAGGGGACACATAATAGCACCACGCAGCACAAGGAGAAGCCGCGATATGAGAACACACGATCTTGTAGGGAGGTGCATCCGTAATCAAATGTCCAGGGGCTGAACCTCGTTAAAATGCATGCAAACGGTGTTTTTCTTTTTACCAACAAAACTTTCAATCTATTAATTAACTGTCAAGATAGTACAAACAACATCAGAAGTAAAAAAATACATCAAGGTCTGTAGACCACCTAGTGACGACTACAAGCATTGAAGCGAGCTGAAGACGCGCCGCCTGATGAGGTCACCTACTACAAGTAGGGTCATGGACCTGACATCTGAGACCCGCCTAGGGCCTCACACCATCGTTGATAGGTTTTTGGATCATAGAAGCATTCCGATGCGTATGGGGAAGTACACTCGGACGCGCCGACAATACTTGGATGTCTTCTCTCCACTCGACCCGGCCATCACGACTAGGACAAGGAAGGTGAAGGGACGACGTAGGAACTGCAATGGTCGAGCAGTCTTAAGTCAGACTTTAAGCATAGTCAAGACTATGTTACCTGTAATTGCCGCAGTTGTGGCTATTAACACTAGTAACTGCCATAGTTATCTCTATTAAGCCACCCTTGTACGTGGAAGTAAAGAGGCGGCGTCGCACACCATATAAGCTGCCCTCAACCTCCTTGACAAAGGTTAATTAGGCACTCTCTGTAATCTTACCCCCAAAGAGAAAACAAGCCTAAGGGCATGAGACCCTACCTCCTTTGAGAGGGGCCTGAACTCGTAAACATCGACTGTTACATCTGTGCCCTAGCTAGGCTCTGCCCCTCTTTCGTACCCCTAGTACTCATTGTCAGGATCGTAACCCCTCTTTCGTACCCCTAGTACTCATTGTCAGGATCGTAACCCCGACACCGCCGTCATCGCTCCTCCCACGTCGGAGCCGGGCAAACCTTGTTGTATTAGACAGTCGGAAATTCGTCGTGCTAAGGCCTCATAGGACCAGCGCACCAGAACAGCAATAGCCGCCAATGAAGAGAAGTGTAGATTTGAAGTATCCAACCTGTAGACAGACGAACACAGATGAATGAAGACTGGATCCACGTGGATACACTAAAGACAAACGCTGACCGGATCCCATGAGATTTGCCGAAGACAAAACTCCACACGCCCTTCGATGATGCTAGAAACACAACCGGAATGGGGACTAGGCAAGGAGGACAATATTCCATCTGCAGAGAGCCGCCTCCACCTCGCACCTCTGAGTAGGACAGAAACCCTAACAAAACTAAAAAAAAGTATAAGAAAATGGAGCTCTCCCATCAGCAATGGTCGGGATCCGCAGTGCCTCCATGGTCCTAAGACCACAAAAGACGAGGTAGACCGACGACGGCACCTGCGGGCTGCAGGAGAAACCCTAGCATAAGGTGCATGGTACGAGCGGCTGCCCGCCGCCATGCGTGGTGTCCTTACTATGTTTGGTTGGTGTTCGATGCAAGTAAAGCACCACCTCTCTCTTTAGTTTGTGGGCCTGACAGAAACAGGTAGCTAGCATCATTGGGTGATGGAAGACGACTGATCTCCACGAAAGCATTTCTCTCCTAGATGAGCTGTAATTAGCAGCTTTGTCTCCAAAAAAGATGGGAACCAATGAAGCATTCTAGAGTAGTTTTAGCATCCAGGGAAGCATGGGCATGCACAAATGGTGAGGTGATGGCGGATTGTTCTGCAAGAAAGCATTGCCTGATTGCCTCTGGACATGATCGATCATAGCATGCAACTTTGTCAACGAACTCAAACCGGCTTACTCTGACGAATATTTGTTACTGCTGTAGAAAAAGGTGTGTATTAGATTGTTTTAAGGCATACTATTAATTTGGATCAGCAAGTAGTGTCTATGGAGAATCTTATCAACATCTATAGTACCAAGTCAATACCATTTGATTCGTCAAAAAAAAATCTCTACGGTATATAAATATAAATAATTTTCTCTATAAACTTGATCAAAAATTGTAAAGATTGACTTTTTGAAAAACAAACAAATGAGCACTATATTATAAACTGAGGTAGCAATATATTGCAATATTTCTACATGTTGGTAATATCGTATATTGTTATAGGATTAGTACGTACTAGCTCATAAGGATAGGGGGCACAGAGGTGTACAACGGGAACATGTACAAAATATAAACCTACAATATTCCTTGTATTGATTTGACCCTTA